GGAGTCCTTCCCCAGGAAGTCAAACTCCACCACGTGCTGCTGCCCATCCAGCTGGGGGTGCAGCTGGATGTGCTCCACACGCAGGGAGCAGCAGCCCACCGTGTCCGCCGTCTCCCCTTCCTCCTTCTCGTTGCCAGCTCGTAGGGCCAGCTGGAAGGAGACAAAAGTCATCCAGCCCAGCCCACCTCCATCCCCCTTTCCTAAGTCCTCCTAAATGGACACAAGGAGGAAGATTCCTCCCCAGGAATGCTTCCCCAGGGCAGTGCCTCGCTGAACGGCTGCTGGGACCTTGGTGGAAACCAAGCAGCGACTCCTCCAGCAGGAGATGTTTTCCCAGCTCTAAGAAATCCTAAAATATCCCCCCCCATAAAGTCATGAGGGCCATCACTCAGAGACACGTCTTGGTGACGTCAAGGAGGACACTACAGCCCCTGCACTGCCCCACAGCTCAGAAGCAGCAGGAGATTGGAGTCACCATCCTTCATGATCGCTGCCAGATTCCTCGTGTGGAGCAGCTCTGAACGGTACAACCCCCAGGCACCAAGGAAAACCAGAGTGGAGCAGAAGAGATAAATTAACCCCCAAATTCCAGAGAGCTGGAGGCCACAGATACCTTATCAATGAAGTAGAGGGCCACTGCTATTTGCCTGGTTCTCATCTCCTTGGACTTCCAGTCGGCTCGGTACCCAGCACGGATTTTGTGGACAACATCCTTCAAGCGCCGGGCTACCTCGTACTTCTGCCAGTCTTTCTCCCCCTAGAAAGAGAAGTCAAGACCTAGTGCCCCATCTTCCTGCCACCCCTCCCAGGCAGGGAACAGTTCTGGGAACACATCCAGTGCCTAAATACTGCTCAACCCCCCGTTGTTTTCTTGAGAAGAAGCCATGAAGTGGAAAAATGGGAGAAGAAGCAACTCGTCTAAGGTTTCTGTGCCCTCTGCTGGCTGTGCTGGACTTGGGATCCTGCCAAACCTGAGCTGCTCATAGTTTGAGGTGTCCTCCACCAGCCAGCAGATGAACAAGGAGCCAAGAAGTCAAGCACTGCACGGCTGTGGCCACTGCTGCTTGGACACCACCATCGTGGACTGACACAAGACATTGGCTCGGTTGGGTCCAACCTGCAAAGTTTCCTTATTTGCTTTGAGAAGTGGAAACAGCTTCAAGTCACCTCTCACTCCCCACAGCTTTCATTCCCTCCCATGGCACTGCAGGCTGTGATCCCACCTCCCCTTAGCCTCCAATTCATTGCCAGATATTCCATCCCTTAGACTCTGATCCATGGGGACCTTCTCAGACCCTGCTTGGCTTTCAACCCTGGCCCCACATGAGCAGCATGACACAGGGATGGTTCTGCCAGTAGCTATATTTGTGTTGTATTTGGATTATTGTCTCTCTCTTGATGTGGGGAGCCCAGAACTAGACCCAAAGGACTACTGGAGAGAGTCCAGTGGAGGCCACAAAGGTGCTGAGGACCTGGAGCATCTCTGTGCTGAGGAAAATCTGAGTCCTGGGGCTGCTGAGCTGGAGAAGAGAAGCCTTAGAGGATTTTATCAATGCTTCACACTGTCTAGAGGGCAGGGGGCAAGAGGCTGGGGCCAGATCCTTGTCAGTGGTGCCCAGCGACAGGACAAGGGGCAACGGGCACCAACTGGAACCCAGGAGGTGCCACCTGAACGTAAGGAAACACTGGTTTACTGTGAGGTTGACAGAGCTCTGGCTAAGGCTGTCCAAAGAGGTTGTTTGGAATCTCTGCAGAGATTCCAAACCCATCTGGACACCATCCTGGGCAACCTGCTGTGGGTGACCTGCTGGACCAGGGGGGTGGGAGAAGATGATCTCCAGAGGTCGTTTCCAACCCCCACCGTCCTGGGATTCAATCCATTCCCTGGATTCAACTTGATACTGAACCATCTCTGTCCATTCCCCACCACCACCCAAAGGGACACCAATTAATTAGTTTAACCCATGTTTTTTGAGCAGAAAAACTCATTTGGGTTGACGTGCCACATCTCTGCCTTCCCCTGACCCTTCCACCTGGCAAAAAGCCATTGACCCAACAGGCAACAGCTCTGCCTGAAGAGCAGCATCACTCCAACCTTCAGCTTGGAGCTGGGGTTCAGCATGATGTACTTCAAAGCGTTCTGGATGTTCTCTGTCCACGAGGCCAGCCAGGTGACCGTGTTGTCAAAACGCACCTCCTTCCACTTGTGACCTTCTGGAGGCTCAGGGATCTTGGAGTCCCTGTGGGCAAAACAGGGTTAACAGGGACCCTTGGACCATGAAGAAAAGAACAAGTCCATAAGCTCAACTGCTTCTCCCCAGTGAGCTTCAAGGATGGTCAACACCTTGCAGCGTTACTTGCAGAACACGGAGCCCACCCAAAATTGCTCCATAACATGGAAGGGTTTGGGTTGGAAGGAACCTTTAAAGGTCATCTAAGTCCAACCTCCCAGCAGTGAGCGGGGACACCTGCAACTAGAGGAGGTGTTTATCCTCTGGATGCTGTTGACAAGAGGACAACCTGCTGGGGAGTGTTTGGAATTGAGGCCACAAGGTCTTCACAGGGATGGTGAAGACTGATCCAACTCATGGGGCTTAGAAGAAAAACCCTCTTAACCCAACCAGTGCTTTCCCTCCCTCTACTGGGCATCCTGATGCTTCCAGCCAGCACAGGGGACCCATAAAATGAGGAGGAATGGCCTGTTGGGAAGAGGAGCACAGGAGAAGGTGGACAGAATTGTCCCTTCTTCAGAGAGGCCCCAGGAGCACTGCAGGGGTTGCAGCTGATGTTGGGTGAACGCTGTAGACAAGCAGTGAGAGGTGGGAGCTTCTGACCAGCTTCCCTGGCCTCTTTACGTCCACAGGAGAACCAAAAGTCAGATCTAACTGCCAAGCAGATATTTGGAGGTGCCCAGGAGGTGATGAAAGGCTTCTGGTGACTTCAAGCCTGAGGGTGTGCAAAGCAGTGATGGTAGGAGACCACAAAACCCCCAGAGCAGCTCGGGGCAGAGGAGATGTGCTGCCCAAAGTCCCCAAAGCAGCTCAGCTTTGAGGAGCTCAGCTCTTCCCGCGGGGACTCACTTGCTGCAGTTGATGATCACATCTTCTGGCATGATCCTCTTCTTCAGCATGCCCATTTTGGGGTGGTTGCCACGTCCACGGAACAGCCCGGGTGGCTCGGTTTTGAAGTTGCCTATCTTCTCCCGGTGCCCATCAAGGATGCAGTACCCATACTCCTCCTGGATCTTATCTGCTTCCTCCTTCAGCTTCTGAAACAACCACCACCCCACCACGATCCCCCAAGGATGAAACCAAAACCTCATGACCTGTGCTTGCCTATCCCTACCCTCCAAGGCTGGAAAGGGAGAGCTCAAAGGGTTGGGGCAAGGTAGAAGCGTGGGTCCAAGTCCACTCCCAACACATGGATCATCTCCACCCACTTCACAAACCCCCATGGTGATGCTGTCCCCATGGGATAGGCCAATGAAGCAAAGCCTGTGTGCCACAAGCTTCTTAGCAAGGTCCTACCAAGAGGGCAGGACCTTGAATCATGGTCCAGGGATGACCCTGTGAAACCACGAAACGTGCAGACCCTGCAGATAAACTCAATGAAGGGGTGATGGTCATGAAGAGGTGGAGCTGGTTCAAAAGCCAAAGAGGTCCCAGGGTGGGGCATAAGACCAGGAAGGGAGACAAGCAGGAGCTGAAATACCCCAAGCTGGTCCCCAGATGTATCAGCCAGCCCCAGAGGTCACAGGAAAGAGTCCTCACCTGCTTCTCCTCTTTGGAGAGTGCTTTCCGTGCCTCGTTTTTATCCACAAAGTACTTGTGGATCTCCCTGAAGTCACACTTGGCCAGGTCTTGGATGATCTCCTGCTCCTCTGAGGTCATCTCCTAAGCAAGAGATGAGAGGAGATGGATTAAAGCCAGGAGGCAAAACCAACTCTCCACAGGGCATGAAAGAGAGGAGGAAACTGAGACCTACATGTCAGATCTCCAGAAAAATCAGAAGAAAGAAGCCACCCCAGCTACCCTGGCCACATGGAATCCTAGAATTCTTTTGGATGGAAGAGACCTTTAAAATCATCAAGTCCAACCATCCCCCCAGCACTGCCAGGTCCCCACTGCCCCGTGTCCCTCACACCACATCTCCACGGCTTGGGAACCCCTCCAGGGGTGGGGACTCCACCACTGCCCTGGGCAGCCTGGCACACACCAACCCCCCCCTGGCTCCAGGCTCCCGTCAGGCGCCGGGCC